ACCCTGGTGTTCCATGTCCCCAGAAGGCAAAGGACAACAGATCCAAGTGAGCTGATGTTGAGAACTCTTTTCCCCAGCATGTTATCTCTCTGAAAAACCAAGCCTTCCACTCAGCAGTGAAGGGTGGGACAGAATCTTGGCCCTCAGATCCTCACTATTAAGCTATGGAAGTTGGGCCTGCCTTGGGGCGGGGGTGGGGGGGGAGGCTTGGAGGCACAGAACCTACAGCTCGGCCCAGACTCAGAAAGGCCAGACTTTCTGTGACACAGAGGACGCAGGCCCCCGCCTTCGGGGGAGAAGAGAGGCAAGCTGCAAAGACATTTGTTTCCTCTGCTGCCAGATCACTCACAGCATGGAAGCCTGGCCCTTCCGGGAGAGATGCATGGAGTCAGAAGTCAACTGGAAAGGCAGAAAGTAGAGAGAAGAAAAGGCAACCTCCAGCTCTCTGGCGGTCATTTTCAACAGCAGTGATTTTTGTGAAGTTACCAATGGCAGCTTCAGATTGGACCCAACCCAAGGACAGTGCCATCACCGAGGGGAGGTCCCTGACTCCTGCTCCAGGGGCCCCCAGGGGCAAAGAAACACCCTCAGCTTTCTCCTGTCTTAGCACCCGCATGTTCCCATGAACCCTCGGGCCCAAGCCCTGAGCCCGGGTTTCTGCTGTGCCTCCCCTCCCCGTCCCTTCACTCGGTTGTGATTTCCTTTGATTGGTTTACTTGTTGGTTTCTCCCTCCATGGTGAGCTTCCTGAGAGTAGGCACACACAGTACCACCCCAGGGCTGGGACAGAGCTCCGCCCATGGTAGACCCACTGGGTCCCGTGGTACACCCACAAGATGTGTTTGTCAACTGACTGGTACGGGGGCTCAGTGGGCTGCCAGGTAAACCCTCTTTACCCACCCGGGATCCAGCAGTTTGTTTTGGGGACCACAGAGTCAGTGCGGCTGCCCTCCCCATCCCCCCACCGGGCAGGGAAGGACACGGAGCTGAGGCCTTCAGAAACGGCAGGTATGGCCTGCCTTGGCCTTGGCTTCTGAGGTTTCCTCAGCACTTCCATCTGGAGGCACTCCAGAGAAACTGAGTCACAGGCTCCAAGAGTTAGGAGGGAGAGTTAGGACATGGTGAAGCTGGCCTGCATTCACTGTGGGCATCCCATGTTGTGTCTGAAGGACACCTGAGGACAGTGTCAGCCTGAGAGCATTCATGCCCTTCAAACAGGGCTTTGGGTCGAAGCCTCTTCATGGCCCACAGGTCTGAGAAGTCCCCCTCCAGGGGCATTGTGGGAGCCCCTAGAACTCAGGTCTCCGTGCAGAATGATGTCTTCTTGACATTCCAAAGGAAAAGTCAGAAATGTTGGTGAGCCCTTTCCAAATTTGGCTTCCAAAAGCTACCAAAGAAGGTACTTTTCGTAGTGGAGTATTGAACAAAGCAGCCCACATGCTGGAGCTCCTTAACCTTTGAGCCTCTAACACAGAGCTGCGTGTCCTCTGCTACCTGCAGGCTGCTCTGTGCGTGGCGCTCAGGGGCACATCTGCTGGGGAGGAGGCAGGAGAGCCCCAATGCTGGAAAAAGAAACCCCCACACACAGCCCTTTTTTCTCCTCCTCCACCCCTCCTTCACCAGCCCCCACTTTGTCCCATCCCTCTCTCCCTCTCCCTTTCTCTCCCTTCCCCACTTCCCTCCCTAGACTCCATCCCTCATCTGTCAGAGCTATTTTTTTGGAAGTCCTTCCCAGTCAGAACACACTCCTCCTGGGGATCATGGGCCAAGTAATTTCAGGCTGAATCTGCTTGAAGCCCAGGAAGCCAGTGTGGGCATCCATGTGGGAGTCTTGCCAACCCTCTGCCTCTGTCCCATCCCCATCCAATTAACGTGTCTGTGGGCCTTATGAAGGGGTTGACTCTGTCATGAAACCATTCATGGGCTGCAGTGGAGAGAGGGCCCATCAGGTGCTTGCTCGGGGGCTCACAAGAGACCCCCACTCGTGGTGGCTGAAGGCTGAGGCCCACAGGGCGGCCTGGCCTCCTGGGTAGCTATGTGTCAGGTTCTGCTGTGTTGGGAGGCAGTGGGGGGTTCAGGCCACCCTTGCACCTGTCTCTCCCAACTATGCCTAGCAGACTCGGATGGAGCGCTACACCTCAGGTGAGCCCCAGAGCTTCATTGGCCTTAGCATGAAGCCTAGAAAAGCAGTTCCAGGACTTCCTGGACCACCATTCTGGCTGAGGCCTCTCTGAGGGTGGTCGCTTGGCTGGATGGAAGGAGGAGCCTGGGCCCACGTTCTTTGGGAGATTTCCTTCCTTCCGGGGACAACATGGGGAAGCACACCTAGGCTCCCAGAGGGCCCACCTGCCACTGTCCCCTCAGTGTCACCTATACAGCAATCCCGAGTGCCATGACAACCACCCGCAGTCCTAGGAAAAGCAGTGCTTGGCTAAGCTCCTCTCTGATCATCCTTCAGAGTGTCCGTCACTAAGCAGCCACTTTCAGCCATCACTTCCTCCAGGTCACTGAAAACATTTGTCATTTCCTGTTTTCTCCATGTTCCAATGATCCTAATTGTCAGTGTCAAAAGGCAACAACTGTTTTCTTGGGGCTTATCTTCGGAGCGCACTGGCTGAGAACAAAGGATGGGGCCTCTGTCTGCAAACAAAGGAAGCCGCCTCCTGGGGGCCTGGAGAGAAGCTCTGGCTGCTCTGCCAGGGGTGGGGGCCGGGCGGGGAGCAGCGGGCTGGCAGTGTCCCCCCATGCCCCAGTGGCATGAAGAGCTTTCTGCCTGACAGCAACACCCCAGGATGGCCAGCATCAGCCCTTCTGTCTGGACTTGGAGTTTCTGTGGCCCTCACCAGACTTTGCCTTCAACTCTGGATGTTCCGGATTGTTCTGCTTCCTTGGATGAACGCTGGCCAACATCTCGCTGTCCTTATAACCCTGGACTCTTCAAGAAGCATTTTCTGTCATCTGGCAGACACTGCCCACTTCCTCCACTCTGACCCCTGCCCCAGCCTCGCCTTCACTCTGGTTTCCCAGGCCCTGGGGGTGTCTTCCTCTCTATCTCCTTCCCTTTGGACTCTTGGGCCCATCGTCGTCATTCCCTGCTTTTTCTTGCGTCGCCCTCTGTAGCCACCACCTGCCCCTCTCCCACCCTGTACAACTGTGTCATTTGGTGAAACTAATGGAGCATTCAGTGGGGATGGAGTTAGAGTTGGTGTAGACAGAATTAGAGCTGGTGTAGACAGAGGGCCCAGGAGCTGGTCCTGGAAGCAGTAGGCTAGAGAGATGGAAGCACTGGACCTGCAGTTAGGAGACACTGCACTTAGCCAGCCGTATTGCCTGGAGCACGTCACTGACCCTCTGTGAGCCTCAGCTGTCACATCAGTAAGCTGGGGCCATAGATCTTCCGCCCAGGTCTCCTGGCGCAGTAGGAGGGTGACTGGGCAGACCAGAGGTGAGAGCTGCCTTCAGAAATGGCTGCCTACCCTAAGCATCTCAGGCAGAGCCCAGCACCCCCCACCCCCCATCTCCCCCACTTCCCAGTGGCATGGCCTTGGCGTTCTTACGACCCCTGTGATCCTTGGGTCCTACCCGCCCCCCCAACAGCATGCTTTAGCAGGAAGAGGGCCGCCCCAGGGGAAGGGAGGCAAGAGCTTGGACAGGAAGCAAGCTAAGGGCAGGATGCTGAAATCACTCGCCGTGTAGTCCGCCCACTACCACGTGTTTGTGTTCATTCTCTGGCTTGGCAGGAACTGAGGCCGGGAACTGCCGCCAGACCTGGGAGCCAGGCACTCTCCCAAGCGCCGGCCCTCTGCCTCAACCCCTTCCCACGCCAGCCATCCAAGAGCGGAGAAGCAGGCCACTCGGGCAGCCTGTGTTGTCCAGTCAAGTCTTCTGGCATCTGCTGGGGTGTGGTGGACACAGTTCCGAAGTAAACTCGGGGAGATGTGCTCCCTGATAGGGCTGCCTTGGATGTTGGCACATGGAGGAGCAGAAAAGGGGAGAGAAATAGCAGCGGGTGAGCAGTGGACTGCAAGTCATACCCAGGGCCCGGCCACAGCTTGTCATCAAAGGGCTGAGGGTCTTGGGGCAAGTTATGCCTTCTGCAGGCCCTCAGCTGGCTCTTTGGTGGCAGGCCTCTCTAGGCGCTTCCATATTTGGGGCTGGGACTGCAGCCCTGAAGCTTGGCTCCTCTCTGTGTCCACCCAGCTTGGAGATGGAGATCGGAAGCCCGTTCCCATCACCCATGCTGCAGCCCATCAGGAAGGCGAAGGGAAGCTGGGAATGAGTGACTGCTCCGGGTGTTGAGCAATGCATCGATCTGACCAAGTGATCACCCCTGCTCTTCATGCCGGGACCACCCAGAACGAGCCTTGGCCCTTTTCCCCATGACAGCCCAGGCACCCACCACCACATAGCCCAGAGGCTGCTCTGCCCCACACCTGACATCCCCAGTTGGTTCAGCCATTCTTTGCCCACGTGCTTGGGAGCCCAAGCCCCATTTCTTAGTATCCTCTGGGTGCAGCCAGTTTGGGTCTCCCTGAGAGTGGCTTGCCCAAACTCTTGTCAGCACTGCAGACATGGTCTGGCCAAGGCAGAGGAGTGTAGGACTGTCACCTCCCTCCTTCTACATACTCTGCTTCTGTTAATGCAGCCTAATGTCACATTTGCTCCTTTGGTGATTGCATCTCACTGCCGCCCCATCCCGAGCAGAAGGACATCGAGAATGCCTAAACCTTTTCTCTCCGTGCTCTTGCTGTTTAGCTCTGTGTCTCTGCCCCATCCTATGCTGCCGCAATTGGTTTTTAACTCAGGTGCCGAATCCTACTTGTATCCATACCCGTGGAGTTTTGCTTGGGAGGGTGGGGCATGCATGCGAGTGTGTGTTGGTGTGTTCACTCATGCTTTCTGCTACACCAAAGCCACGTCCTGAGTCCCCACACAGTGACACCAAGGCTAGAACAACTTGGTAGCCTGAATCTAACACTTCTTTTTTCATCTTCTACTTAGCAAGAGAAGCAGAGATCAGGTCTTATGGCAATGACCCCTGAACAGCGCAGTTCACGTATCACCCAACGGATGAGTCAATTTACAGGTAAACAGTTAAAAGTCCATGTTCTCAAAGGGGTGAGCGGTGGAGACTGCGTGAGGTTGGGGGAGAATTCCCTCCAGCATAAACTGTTAATGAGATGATTCTGGAAAGCATTGATGAAAAGAGAGTAGGTCTGTGAGGCACTTCCATGGCACCCTGGTTGGATCTGTCACATGGAAAGTGTAAGTAGGGTCCCAATTGAAGGCTCAGTCTTAATGACTCTGAAATCACTGTTTGATTGAAGAGATTGACTCAACCATGTAATCAACATTGATTGGCTGAAGATACAGGTGCTAGCCAAACACTACAAGTGATCTCCGCCAAACTAGCTCAGGAGACGTGTTAAGCACTTGTCCCCAGCCAGTAGTGACATTGGGCCAGGGCGGGTATTCTTACCCGGGGCTTGAAGGAGGCTGCTTGCCTTCCAACGGGTGTTCAGCATCTTTGTTGTAGCCTGGCGGCACCATAGCACCATCACTCCTCCATTCTCTTGCAAAACCCCCTTTTCCTTCAGGCCTGATACCAGCTGAATGCCCCCACCTGTTCAGGCAGGAGTGGCATGTCAGGTGTGCCTTAGCCGCAGGGACCAGGCAGACAAGTTCCAGGCCAGTGTCAAGAGGTGGACATCCTTCAGGGGGTGGGTGGTACCAGGCTTGTGTATGGATTGTATGGGGTTTATAAAAGCAGGCCCAGACCCCATTCTCGGAGCTTAAAATTTACGGGCATTTTCAGTCCAATGTGATCTACTCTTGGGTGGAGGGGAGCTATAAGCACAGACCCAGGGGGTCTAGGAGGACTTCCCCCAACAACTGCAGTCCAGGCTGAGGGTGGAGGAACAAGGGGAGAGGAGGATGCTCAGTAGGAGCCAAGGGCAGGAGGTGAGAGGTCAGTGCTGGGCCAGTGGCTGCCCACTGGCCACTGCAGCCCAAGTGGAAGACACCTTTGGAACTGACCCCCGCTTCTCTCTTTCGGTAGCCATCCAAGGTCAAGTCATCTCCAAGTGTAGCCGGACCAAGGCAAGATCCCTACCCAGCCAGCGCATGACACCACCCAGAGCTGGGCTCCCTCGTAGCGGTCTGAGTTCAGGAATGGCCTCACCCATCAGGCAGCAGAGCCAGGAGACCATGCGCATGTTCTCACCAACCCCCTGCAGGCAGCAGGGGATTTTCAGCTTCAGCCCCCAGTTTCCCACACCTTCACAATTGGGCCAGAACCCCCCGGGCAGCCCTGGCTCCATCAACCAGCACATGGGGATGCCCAATGCTGCTCCTGCAGGAGTGCCCCTGCCTAGATTCTGTCCCAGCCCCCAGGGCAGCCAGGCTCTGGGTCCTCACCAGCTCAGACAGCCCCATATATCAGGAATGTCCACCGTGCTCCACAGCACTTCCTGGGTGGTGACAGCAACATCTCTGCACACCCCAGTCTTGAGGGAGCCACCCCCGAGCCAAGCAGCTCATGGCATGCAGCAGCATTATGATACCCGCGCCATCTTTACCAAGACCCTTGTGACAACCTCCCTGGGAGCCCCAGTGTTTCCCTTGCAGCAGGCAGTTGTGTCCCCTAGTCAGGTGGCCCCAGAAAGCAGACCTAGCCAGAAGGCAGGTGCTGCACCCGCCAAGCGCAGCTTCAGCCGGCTGGGCAAACGGAGTGTCAGAAAGAGCCTGGTGCAGGGCCCCGTGCCCACACCACATGCCACCAAGTCCCTCAAGCAAGGTATGGTCAGCCCTGGGCCTGAGAGTCCCATCCAGGCCATTGAGCCACCAAGCTCTGTGGCTGCTGCTGCTGCTGACACCTCCATTGTGGCTGCCGGCCAGTCCCAGGCCAGTCCCTGTGACAGAACAGGGAACCCCTCTGAGTTGTCGTCCCAGTCCACACTGGACGATCTTATTTCACTCCCTGAATGTTCTGTAGTGGATTTCATAGATGCTTTCATGGATTCCACCGAGAGCCCAGATGAAGACTGGATGGGCAACCTGAGGCTGATCAGTGGCACTGTAGACCAGGCTGCTGATGAGGGTGCTGAGGCCCAGAGTCCGGGTGATGTCCCCAAGAATGCTGACGAGCTTTAAATACCCTAGAAACCTCCATGTGGCCATCACCCTGGGGAGTGGTGTGAGTCCATAGCAAATTTACCACTGGCCCCACACAGCCACATGCTTATTGCCTCATTACAATTTGAGGGGCAGAAGCCCACACCCATCCCTGTCTCTACCTGTGACAAAATGGAAATCTGGTGATTTTTTTTCAAGCTACCTGTACATATCTGAAAATTTTGTACACGGTTTTCCTAAACATTCATGACAGAAGTGTTTATACCGCATTTTGTGAGTTTGTAATTAAGACAATGGCTTTCGTTTTAGCAGAGTTGTGTTTATTATGTCATTGTCCGTGTGTATTCTACATTGTTCAAATACGCAGACTGTGTTGTTCACTCCAGCCATACCTTATCAAACCAGGTGGCTGAGTTGCTTACGCTTTTGATGCAGTGGTGGATGTGACCAAGCGGTGTTGTGCAAACTGACAAATGCCAAATAGAAACTCACTTGGCCATCTATTTCCATTTCCACTAAAACTTCTATTGCCCAGTGTGATTCTTAATGTCTTTTGCAAACCTTGCAGTGTCTTCTAGCTCTTTCCTGATGAGCCTGTTACAGCACAAGCCGTTTTATCATTAAGTAGCCTGCAGAGGAATTATTTGCCAGGAGGTAGAGAGTTCTGGAGATTTGAGAGAAGCAAAGAGAGAGTTTGTGAGCTGGGCATCTCTGAGGGTTCTACCCATTATCACTCAGACAGTTTGCACTACTCTAACGGGCACCTTACAGGGTGGAGGCAAGATGCTTCTGATTTAAGGCCTTTCAGTATTTGTTCTGATGTAAAGCTCTGTGGTCTGGGGGGAAAATGAGTCTGTAAACATGAATAGTTGATTTGGGTTTTGTCACTGATGTTTTCTACTTGCAGTTATCATCACGTATGTTTAAGTGTCTGTTACAGGAAACCCACACCCACTGTCCTGTAAACTTTTATCAGTGTCCAGACTCTGTGTAATGACGTTTTAATTGCCACCTGGTATTTTGCCTCTGCATTTGAAATCTGGCATCTGTTTCAAGCAAGTGTGTTTTTTTCCCTCGTTCTATAATAAACAAGAGAAAAGTACCTCTGTGTTTTCATTTTCCCAGGGAGCATTCAGAGTCTACAAACCCATGTCAGTTAAGCCTGCTGGTGTCTTTGGTTCTTTCTGATTGTGCTCCCTGTCTTGGGATGCACTGAGAGGAGAGGGGCAAGAAGTTTGTGTAGCCTGCACTGCGATCCTTTCACATCACAGCACAGAAGCACATCGGTTTACGGTGTAGACCTCTTAAGATGACTGACTGCACTGGGGCCTGGGGGCAGGGGGGCGGGGGCAGGGGGAGGCTTGCGTTGAGAAGCTAGTTCTCCACCACCATCCTCTTTCCACTGAGACGGTGACAGCCAATTAAAGATCCAATGTCTCTCACGGTAAGGCATACCAACATAGGGCAGCTGGAGGTTGCGGGGACCTGGAGACTGAAATGCCATCACTTCACACAGAGGTCCAGGAAGACCCTGGTGAAGGCGTGGTCCCGGGAGAAAATGGCGTTTCTACCCTTTCCCTCCCCTTCCCTTGCCCTTCCCCCAAGGTCTAAACTAAGGGCAACCCTCATATTCCTGAGCACTACAGAGGGTAGAGCCTGGTGGTCCGGGATGCCGGGCCAACGGGGCATAGGAGGTGTGCCACTATCTTGCCCCCTTCAAGCTTGGGGCCCGTCTCTGGGGCCCCCTTCTGCCGACCCATCAATCCTGATCTGCTGCCCAATCCCTGCTTGGCCGCCTCCTCTCCCCGCCCTCCCCACCAGCAGTTGCCGGCAGCATCTTGGCTGCAGGCTGTTTCCAGCTTAAACTGCATGAAGACAAGGGCTCTTGTCACCTCACACTGTGAGGCAAGCCCCTCACCCCATTTTGAAGCAGATACTAAAGAGATGGGACCTGTGCCTCTCCCACAAGGTGCCAGGACTTGGTGCATAGGTGGCAGAGGTTGCATATGGAACCACATCTCCCCAAAGGCAGTGAGGAAGCTAGTTGGGGACCCCTTTGCACACACTATGTGCTGTAAAAGTGCAGCTGAAGCACCAGCTGGGATCACATATAACCAAAATTGAATACACACATTTAGCCCCATAACTGGTGGGAAGAAGACCTACTCATTGTCAAGGTATAGGATGTTCCAACAGAATGACTTTGGGGGCTGAGGGATGCAGGTACAATGCGGCAGGCCTGTCCTGTCCTGTCCAGTGGAGCCTAAAATGCTCTTAAGAAGCATCTAGGGAGATGCCCCCACCCGCCACTCTCAGTGGCTGTTCAGTTCAGTTCAGTCGCTCCGTCATGTCCAATTCTGCAACCCCATGAACCGCAGCACACCAGGCCTCCGTCTCCATCACTACCTCCCGGAGTCCACCCAAACCCATGTCCATTGTGTCAGTGATGCCATCCAACCATCTCATCCTCTGTCATCCCCTTTTCCTCCTGCCCTCCATAGGGGTGGAGGCAGACCTCCCTGGTCTGTGGGCCAGAGGGATGGTGGAAGCAGTCAGGGCCCCAAAGCCCCAGTGCTTGGCCCACCTGCTCACATAGCCCCTCCTGCTTCCTGTAGAGTGCTCCTCGTAGATCTGGGGAATGGGGATGTCCTGTGAGTGTCCCGCAGCCCCAATCACGACTCCATGTCAGAGGCTTGGCCTCTGTTCCCCTTGTGTTGTTAACTCAAGTGCCCCAGTGGCACCAGGCCCCAGGCAGGCCCCGGCTGCCCCTCAGAGCTTGACTGGGACACTTGGGCCCACCTCTCTTGTCCCCTATCCCCAGTGGGGCCAGGGGTAGCAGGACCCACCTGCCCAGAGACTGTTGCTCACAGCCAACCAGTTGGGGTGCTGAAGGCCAGTCAGTGCAGCAGAGCCTCCTCACTTCTGCCAGCCTTCAGAGTCCCGAAATAAAACCTGAGCTTGGACTGCTAAGCTGGGTTAACTTCCCATCCCAATCACGTATTTACCTCAAGGCTGAGCCAGTGTGGACAGCACCCCCCCCCCAGCACTTCCTGCCACCTGACCCTGCTTGGCCTCACTGGCCCCAGCAGGCCCTTCCAGCCTGTTCCTCCTAGAGGTGGGTGTCCCAGGCTACTCCTGCCCAGAGATGGCAGCTCCCACCATTGTGCCATCGCTCAGCTGCCCTCTCTCCTGCACCCCTGCACCGTTAGCCTCTTCTCTGCTGGATTCTTCCCAAGGGGGTTGAACTGGGCCATGTGCAAAGGTCTTCACCCACCTCAGCCCGTCCAGTTGCAGTTCTGACACCTGCCGCTCCTCCCCTGACTCTCGTCAGCCCATAGCCATCTGACTCCTGTCCTGCTCCTTCCCAAGTACACTCGCTGGCCAAAGGGCCAACTCCCTCTTGGCCATAAACCCAATGGAAGTTTCTCGATCCTTCCAGAATGGCACTGCCCCTTGGCTCCTGGGAGTCCCCTGGGATACTTCTTTCCCTCTGAGGTCCATTTTCTCCTGTTGCTTCCTCTCACCTGCGAGGCCTTCTTCCTTGCTCTCTTTCCTCCAGTTTCTTCCCTGGGAGACAAACAGGTTCCTGAGCCTGCACCCAGCCTCTAAGCATCTCAGCATATTGACAGCCCAGCCACAAAGAGTGGTGTGTCTGGGCAAGAAAGAATGAAAGCATTCGGATGCTGCTCGATGACCCCCACAAGGAGGGTTCGCCCTGAACCTGCTTCAGACAGCAAATTTGGTTGGAGGCCCCTGGCCTGTGCAGGTCCTTCACTGGGAGGGCTGGGAGGACCTTGCAGGTGGGGCCTAAGGTCCCCCCACAGGGGTGCATGAAGACCTGCAGTCACCAGTGGGGAGGTGCTCTCTGTACACCCTGTCCCATCACCCTGCTCCCCAGCTCTGAGGCCGGGGGAAATGCTGGAGGTTGCCAGAGAGGTATGTGAGACCCCAAGGCCTCCATCCTCCCTTAAAGCAGGCTCCAGCCCCTGAAGGTCCATTTCTCATCGGTCCCTCTTCAGTCTGGAAAGTCAGGGGATCTGGCAGTGGACACGGGCTTTGGGAGAAGCACAAGCCATTGGCCATTCCATGATTCAACAAGCATGCTTGTGCTAGGCACCAGCGGGTAGACAGACATGGTCCCCAGCCTAATGGAGTAAACCAGGGAGTGCATCTGTCAAGGTCATGCACAGGAATAATACCAGGAGATTATGAGTGTGTGTGTGTGTGTGTGTGTTCTCCAAAGAAACAAAACCAATAGGAGATTGATTTACCATAAAGAATCAGCCTACACACTTATGGAGGTTGAGAAGTCTCATGATCTCTGGTCTGGGGCCCCAGGAAAGCCTATGGTGTCGTTTCTAAGACTGGAGAACCAAGGGAGCCAATGGTGTAAAGCCCAGTCTGAGGTCTGAAGTCCACAGGACAAGCTATCAGGGTGTCCAGCTATCAGGCTGCAAACGGGCAGGAGCTGGCACTGCAATCCACAGACTGAATTTTCTCTTCCTCAGGACAACCTCAGCTTTGTCCTTAAGGCCTTTCAGTGTGGCTGAGGCCACACTATTCAGGATATTCTCTTTTACTTCACATCAGCTGACAGTAGATGCTCACCACATTTCCACAGTACTTTCACAGCAGCACATCAGTATTTGATTAAATAACTGGCCCATGTAGCCTAGCCAGGTTGACAGGGGGACAGATGATTGACACATTAGCAAAGACAATCACAACAAGTTGCATTAACATCCACAAAGGAAACACAAAAGGGGCAGAGAGTGAGAGACCCTAAGTGTGGTGGGGCTTGTGGGGACACTCAGGCAAGAGTGATTTCACTCTCAGGGAGTGAAATCTGAGCTGAGATGAAAGGATGAGAGGGAACAAGGATGAGAGGGAAAGAGTTTGGGCAAGGATGTTCCTGGCAGAGGAAAGAGCACATACCAATTTGGGGAGAAAGGGGAAAAAAGTCAGTGGTTAGGGCCCAGTGAGCTAGGCGGGGAGGGAAGAGTTGGGGTACCGAGGTGGACAGGACCCTGGAGTCTGTCTTGATTCCACAAGGGAAGCCTTGGGTCACTCCAGCGCCTCCACTCCGGCTGGAGGATGGACTCCAAAAAGAATGGGGGTGGCTGGTGTTGAGAGCCTGCTTCTCCCTAAGGACTTCCCCTGGACATCTCCAATTCTGAAGGTCTAAGGTGAACTCCTCAGGATCCCCGCAAACTTGGGAAGCCTTCTGCTCAGTGGAAGTTGGTCATCACACCCTGCTAAGGGCCTCAAATCCCCTTGGTATTCAAATCCAGACCTGGGAGTCATCCGCGATGTTTGTCTTTTTCTTGTCCTTTCTGTATCCTGGAAAGATGGGATTTCTTCCCCACATCCATCTGCAAAATCTCTGTGATCACAATAAAAACCCCAGCAGGATTCCTTTCTGGAACATGACACAGTGATTCAAGCGGACTCATGTAGTAGGTCAACAAGACAAGAATTGCCAGGAAACTTCTTAATAAGACGACTCCAGAAAGGGTTCTAGCACTATCAGATATTAAAATGTATTACGAAGCTACTGTATTTTAAACAATGTGGCTGTGGCACAGGAGAAGACAGATGAGTCAGTGGAAAGAAAATAGATAAAAGTATATATGGGAATTAAGACAATAGCAAAGTAGCATTTCAGATCAGCAAGGGAGACTCAACACACAGTGCTGGAAAAACTGACTGGCCATCTGCACAGTAAATCTGGATCTTCTACCTCCCTACTGACATCAAGATAAATTCAGATGATTCAAAGATTAAAATAGAGAAAAGAACCCATAAAAGCACTATAAGAAAACAAGGGTGGGTATTTTCATAATATCAATGTAGATCAAGCTCCTCCTATTATGACATGAAATCCAGAAGCCATAAAGGAAAAATTGATAAAATTGTCCACACAGAATTTTGAAACTTGCATACAGAAGAAGCACCATGAAAGTCAGAAGATAAATGACAAATTCAGGAAAATAAAAGGTTTGGAACACCTGACAGACAAAAGGTGATTTACTTAATACTTAACAAATAGAAGTAGTATACTGTCTCCGACAAGAATTTCATAACAGTATCATTCACAGCAGC